GCTGCAAATTGGCCAAGATAGCTCTATTTATATACTTGATATAATATTGGGTTGAGTATATGACGTCATCAGTTATCTCATTTGCATATTTTACACATTCTTCAAACTTAAATATCTTCGGAACTAACGCAGATATTTGCAAACTGTAAACGGCGTTTTTATTCTTTCGCACTCAGTTAAAATACTAATAAGACGAATACTACAAGAGTGGTTTTCAATTGAGTGTCGAATGTAATCAGGCAATTACTTGTTTGAGTTTGGCTGAGTAGTCTAATCGGTAAGTGATTGCTTTGGCTTTGGTTTTGGTTTTACGACACTCAGTTTAAAACTGCTCTAATATCACTAATGAAAATTCATTTTATAACACTTATCACTTGCATGTAGCATCATAAGCCATCATATAATTAATAACATTTGCATCAGGCAAAGGATCCTGTAGGTGCCAGAGCTCATCCAGTTTCTGTAGCTTTAAGCAACTACAACAATATTTCAATCTACTCCCCCTATATAGTGGCTACCAATTAATACAAGAATGTACACCTGAGTAATGAGGTGGAGTGTGGGAATAGAGCATTTTAACTCGTGTGACATGAGTCTGACATATAGTAGTTGTTAACCCTTAGTATGCAATAATTTTTTATCCATACCCAGGTATCAAACAGACTCACCATTCTAATCCTCTCTAATGAGCCATGGTAAAATTTGAAGATACTCTGAAGGGTCTCTAGCTGTCTTATCAACAGTGAATCAGGTTCACTGAGGTTTCCACCAAGTGCCTGTCACAAAAAAACATTATTTTGTAGTCATATTTGAGTTTAGCTATAAACACATTTTGAAGATCCAGGTTCTTTTAACACACAGGATCTGTCAAAGTTTAGCCACATAGTACAACATTCATGTCAAATAATCTTGACTCACTTTGCCGCAGACAAATGTAAAGTTGAGTGTCAAGAATCAATGTACCGTCAAGCATTTTTATCTCAAGTAAGAGAAACTTTACACTCAAATCTTGGGTCCTTGAGGTATTTATGCATAACAATCCTCTAGTGGGAAATGGCATGACAGAACATTGCATGTTTTACTGTTAAGCCTTCGCCAAACAGACCCACAAGTAGTCGCAAGTAGCTGCAAGTTGAACTTGGCCAAACAGACTTGTAAGTTTCCTTTTGCAAGTGCATACAAGTTGCAAAAAAGAAAACATTTTAAGGCTATGGGCTTAGTCTCACATGGTCAAAATGTAACCATTCTATCAGACGTATCCTATATTTCACTGGCTAAAGCAGCCTCCACACGGCAAACTTAAGTTGGCAAACTGGTGTCGGCAAACTTCAAAAAGTTGGCAAACTCCTACTTTCACACGTCAAACTCGCGTCAAATCACAACACACGGTAATTTGCAACAAGGCTGGCTGACTTAGTGCAGTGGCACTCACGTAGAACAGTGAAACAGAAGAAGAGAGGAGAAGAAACAGAAAGCGGTGGAGAAATAGAAAGGCTTGGACGAAACCCAGTTTGTCCGCTAGCTCCTTCATTTTCTTTTGTTTGTTTTTAGTATCTTTATAGACCACAGATGAAATATCCCACACAGCCAGAGAATTGTGAACCTCATTGATAAATTTAAAAGTGGCCTCATGTTCATCTTGAATTGTGTCTGCCATTTTTTGAAGTGTCACGCAAATAAATCACGTGAATAGAGTGCATGTTTTGATTGGTTGACAGTTAACACACATTTGCCAATTGTTCACATGTCAGAAAGGAGTTTACCAACACCAAAAAGTTGATGAAAAAGTTGGCAAGAATAGAGGTAAATTCTATTTGTCGCTAACAGTTTGCCAACGTGTTTGCCGACTGTTTTTGTGCCGTTCACAAACACCAACTTGAGTTTGTCAACATGAGTTTGAAAACTTTAGTTTGCCATGTACAGGCCGCTTAATAGGTTGCTATGACAAAGAATTGATGTCACCCAACAATTTGGGCTGGGCGGCGAAACAGTGACAAAGTTGCGTTGACTTGCATCCAAATTTGATCTTGACCAAAGTGAGTGTAAGTCAACACAGGTGCATGCAAGATCTGGTAAAACAGAGTCACAAGTAGACTCAAGTTTCGAACTTGAGTCTACTGGTGAGTCCGTTTGACCAGGGCTTTAATAGCTCTATAGGATGCACACTAAACATATTCAGTGAAGGGCAAGGTCACATGACTCATTACCAAGGTGTATTGGCCAGAATGCACAGTTGCCACCTTCTCTGTCTGCAGCTTACAAAGGGCTGGCCTGGCACCAATAAAGCCATGCATAAAATGTGACACTCCAATTAGTTGTCCACATATAGAAATCCGATCTTCCATAGAGGCCTGCAAAGAGAGCACTGTTAATCCACGGAATAATGCATACCAACAGAGTATTTTTTGTCAGTACAATAAGGTGTGAAAGGGTTTTCCTTGACAGATCTTCTTGATTAATATTTGAGCAGAAACAATTTGTTATGGGAAAATTATTAGAAGGGGGGTAAATAGAAAATATGAGCCTTTGTAAGGCGCTGAGATTAAATATTTGGAACACCAAGGTTCATTCATTCATTACCAAGGTTGCTGTTTATATGAAAGGGTTATTTTTAATGAATACAGACCAATTAGGAAGTATGCAAAGTCAAACAAGGGATCCATCTAGAAGAAAGTCTTACCTTTTTAAAGATTAACCCATAGGACTGCTATCAAATGAGGTATTTATAAGAAAGCGTATATTAAAGTGATCGTTAGAATAGCATACCCTGTGTGTTGTTGGGGCTTTTGGGTTTCTGAGCACATTTGTTCTAAGAAACTTATTAATTAATTTATGCATGGACTCGTTGTGAGTATGAACAAAACGAAGAATTCATCATTTACCGAGGGAGGGTAGAAGTAGATGATAGCATTTTCGGGTGGATCTGCTTCTTTTTTCACAGCCTCTCGGTCGTAGACAAAGAATATGAGTCCCTCGAAACTGCAATAAAGATTTGAGTGAACGTTATATAAGCTTTTACACAGTCACACTTACATAAGCTTCAACAGTGTCTACATTTGTGAGTTAACCGGTCTGCCTTTATACAACATAAATTCAGGAACAATACCTTGGCGACCTGGTAGGGGCTATTAGAGCAGTCATTACTTCATCGGTTTCTGCAGGGATGGGTCAATAAGTAAAATATTTTTCTTCAAATAGCAGCAGCTTAGATACAACATTTGTAGTATTATAAAGTAGCCACTCTCAGGCTGATCGGTGCCCGCTGCATGTGAGTCACGAGAAGCTAGGTAACCGCCCTTGTTTTTGCGTCAGGCAGTTTCATTTCCGTCACGGAACGGAATGATGATTCTGATAAGGCAGAGCCTAGCGTTGCGTGACAGAGCAAGAGTTTGAACTGGACTAGGATCACACGGATCGTGGAACGTCGAAAGGAATTGATCAATCGACTCTGGACAAAAATTCATGACTTGAGTGATATTGGATCATTGATCCTGATCCGGATCGTACCAAAGAAACGCACCCTTAGATGATTGAATTTGGCATGATTAAAGTTTTTGCTTTCGACGAGAGAAGTGGAATTAGTCTCAAAGAATCCTGTGATTTTTTGAGTTCGTCTACAGTTTCAGGCTGACATTGTGATACTTCATTGAGGTATTTCCATGACCAGTTCAATGTTGATAAGAGCTGGAGCTGCCTAAAATTTTTTGACCTAGCGTCTTTACATAAGAGGAATTTCCATATCCTATCCATGCTCCTTACTTAGGTTTGTTCCTCACTTAGCCTTGCATGCTTCTCAACTGAGAACAAAATGGAAAGAAGAAGTGATTCAAAGTGTTGAATGTTTTTAATATTTCAGTAGAACTAAATCTTCTCATTTACGTTACCCTACTGATCAGAACTAGACAAAAAGAATCCTGGTGGGGATCTCGTTAATTTGGCTACCAAACAGAAAGGTCACAGATAAAAAAAAAGTGCCACTGCATGCTGTATATTCCAGGGATCTCTGCATGCGTTATGCGATTGATTTCCTGTTTATTGGGGAGATCTTTGGTTCCCTACTGCGACCAAACATATGGTTAAAAGTGTCCATTGTCTATTTTAGAAAGTTGATCAATCGGCAGTAAATTGGCTGAAGTCAGACATAAGAGAAGTATACGTCTAATTCGTTTACTTTTATTCGCGCTATAGAGAGGGGCACATGTGTATGCGTCACTCTGTCCAGTTAGTATTTTCATAGCAGTGTCTGAATAAAGTATTTTCGGGTATTTTCTGCGGAAAGGGATATCTGCGATCATTCTTCAAGTGGCGAACAACCACACTGTTTCAGCATGTTTTTCACTATTCCGCTCACTTCCCTGATCCTCCAGCAATAAAGAACAGGATTTATCGACGCGTTAAAATAAATCAATATGATAGCAAAGTATCTTGCAATAACAAAGCTGATATGAGCTTCTCCAGTGGAAGACAAAGCTGAACGTAATGATATCACTGTATACGGGGTATAACACAACACCAAAGTGAGGTGAACCCACAATGCAGTGCGCACCGATTTTTTGTAACGCGCAATGTTCAGCTGAAAAACTCCGCTTACTTGCGGATGGTGAGGGTTGCCTTGCACTTACACTTGCATACGGTGAAGCGTCAAGTAGATTTTTTGCCTAACAGAACGTCGAAGCGATTAGACATATCACGATCATCGCGCAAGTCAAAATAAAGAAAATAAAAGCGTGCCACAGAGATAGAGAAGCGTTAACGGTGTTTAGAAGACAAAGGAAGAACACGAACGCTCGAACACGGTTAAGCGTCACAACTCGCCTGTATCTTAACCTCAACGACAAAGCAAGAAGTCTATCCACGCTTATGGCAGTCAGGATACCCAAGGACACGCCACACAGGATAACCCAGAAAAAACTCCCTACCGCTCCGGTCAAGTTTCCATCTCTCGTTCAGAGTTTTCAGTACGTGGTATGCAGCGAAGTTGGGTGCAAGATCAAACCTACAAACAGATCAGTGAATGTGAGAGTTCGATATAAAAGCTTCGTTGGTGGGCGAAAGGATGACTCTTTTTTCAAGGCGCATAAGATGATTAAGTTCCCAACGAAAGCAGTGATGGCGAGAAGGAGATCAGCTCCTACAAGGGTGTAGTCCACATATGGCCCGTCCCGCGTCCCGTCCAGTAGTGTTGGTGAGCAGAAAACCGAGTGAAAGGGAACTTGTTTTCCTTCTTGGCTGGAATTGACCATTTTCCTCTTTGTCAGTCAATATTATTTTTGGTTTAAATTGTGATAGTCTCCTGCGGGTAATGGCATGGGAAGGGAAAACTCTGATAAGCCCCCTGTTACGCTCGTCAAACCAATGTTGTGTGATCGGCCGAGGTATCCCAATCGTCGAGTTACGAGCAAAATAACGAAACGCCGTCCGGAGACACCAGCTCAAAACGAGCTTCTGAATGATATAAACCACAAAGGGGGCTGACTCACAATACTGTCATCATAAGGCATCAAAACTATCGTCTTAGTAACAAATTGTTGTTAAAAATACTGACTGATAAAAGAAGAATAGCGATGGCCTTTGAGTTGCAGGATGAATTATTTATTTCAGGTAAAATCTGTTTCAATTAAGGCTTTAATTTCCGATTTCTAGTAGCGAGAAATTAATTCTAAGGTTTGGAAACCCTTACAGCGAATGGTAACGAAGCCTGCCATGAATTATTCCAATTTCGTTGAGGAGAATCAAATATATTTGTAAAAGATAATTTCCGATTGTAAACCGGACCTTGATCTGAAGCCGAAACGTTTGGATAGTAGACCATGGCAATTTAAAATATTCATTGGTGCTTGCATGTGTGAATTTTGTCAAACTGTAGCTTCGACTCCTGTTGTGAAAACTAAGAATCATTTTCAGTTTCTACTGGTTAAATAATCACTTTGTTTCTTTTTCTCATCAAACGAAATGCAATCATCATACAAGCCATTTGACCATAAATTTGTGTCCCAGACTTCTTAAGTCAAAGATCAACTCTAGTTAGCAACTGCATGCTCACGTATTTCCCTTTTTGTTCATTACGAGAACTTGTCCCTCGTGAAGGCATGTCGGCCTACATCAGGAGGTTGTCAGTAGACTTTGACCAGCTGTGGGTAAAACTGAAAAATATGAAAAATATGAACAAAGAATTTCTTAGCTACTATTCACAAAATGTACAGGTATTAAAGACTAAACTGAATGTACTCATATCACAGAAACCACAAGTTAGAATATCTGTACAGACATGAATCTGATGCTGGGGCATTCTGGAGTCTTAATTCGTGTTAAAACAAATTGTCAAATGTTGAATGCTTATAGTGGTCGATGCGCTTAGCTACAACTAGCTAGCTCACGTAGACTGAAAGAAAGAATTTATGTTAATGGCAGATAGAAGATGATTTCATTGAGACCCACCCATGTTTTTTAATAGGATCAATAGTCATTATGGGGATCAAAGTTCGTTTTTGCGTTTTACTTTCCGCTAAGTGAGTTAACTTTTACTATCATACTTAGTTGTGGTCATAATGAAGTGAAATCTTCACCTGACTGATTAAAACACATACTTGGACAGTTGATAATCCACTGTGTCAATAAAATTATCGCAGTTCGGGAAAAAGTTGACAAATGTTAAAATTAAAGCAATGACCTATATCCAAGCTGTTTTTTGCTGTTTATCGGCTATATTAAACTAATCTGCACAATTGGACGAAGGACCATAACGGTAAAGCGTGCATAAGCGTTGTTTACCTGAGCTTTGTGCTGAATGAATAAAAGGTTCACGGGCGAGAGATAAGACTTAATAGGCCGCAGTTTGTACTACCCGGTCACATGGTACGAAATCAACCTTGCTTGGACGTGAGACTTCCAAAACAAAGGAAAGTCAAGCTTCACTGGTGCGAGTTGCTTTGTTTTGGAAGTCCCAATGTGTAACTTGCGTCCCAACATGGCTGATTCTGTACCATGCGACCGGGTCGTGCAAAGGGCTAATTCTCAATTTCTGTCACTGCACATATTTGCGGTGGGAGATCTTAAGACAAGACCTGAGTTTTTACAGTTTGCGGCGTTACCCTCTTATCACTTGCCGAGATAGCTCAGTTGGGAGAGCGTCAGACTGAAGATCTGAAGGTCCCTGGTTCAAATCCGGACAACTCGCATGAGTTCTGAATAATCCCGGGTCTCGGCAAAGTTTTACTCTTTATTTTAAATTAAAAAGCGGAAACTATGGGCCATGCTATGAGTAAGTTAAGTGACGAATTAAAATGAGGGAGGTACCCTGTAATTTGCTGGGATTGCAGCTTGGATATTAACAAACGATCTTGCTTAAATCAAGGCATTGTTTCTGTCAAGTAACATTTCGTATAGGTTACCTCACTTACATTTCATCACAAATCATTGTATTGTATTCCATGTTTATTAATTGCACTTGTTTCATCTTTGTAAAAGAAAAGCCGTAAGGTAGTCCAAAAAAACATTTTAAACGATTTTATGAGGAATTCCCATCTTCGAAAACTGTCTGAGCTATATCAGTTAATTTTAGATAGTGCAGGTCCACATCAGGACTTAGCGTCTTGCCAATTTTGATCTTCAACCTGCTTTATCAAATAAATTGTGTATGTATGTATGTATGTATGTATGTACACCTCGAAGTTGCTAGGGGCCTCCACAGACTAGACATTTGGTTGTCGACAACTATTTGCTATCGACGACTAAATGTTATCGAAACTAATTGTGTCTGATGCGAGCATTCCACACATTGGAATCCATGTCTAAGTCAGGTCAGCGAGACCTTGGGAACTAACATTCACTGCGCATGCTCAAAACACAATACCCATGCTCAAACCACTGTCTACTGACAACGCAGTTTCGATAGTTGTCGACAACTAAACCAATGATTCCCACACAAGAAAAAAACGGTCAAAACGAAAACAACTAAAGCAGTTTCTCTTTTCGAAAAGGGAAACTGCATAGTTCTCGACAGCTAAAAATTTAGCGTTTAGTTCTCGACAACTCATCTCACACACTACGTTTTTGAGTTGTCGATAACATTTACTTGTCAACAACTAAATGCCTAGTCTGTGGAGGCCCTAAGCAACTTTATATCATGCCATAATGGCGGCCGGGACAACTTTTGGAAAACTCCCAAACGCTTGCAGTGTTCTTTGGTTGGATAATAACTAAAACTCGGAAAATTTACCAATGTTTCAACGAAGATTTCGAAAAAAACTAGACTTGTTCCCCTGACTGAATCCATGATAATGATATGAGAAATTTATCACACCAGCCACGTGACCGATTGGGTTGAAGTGACGAGGTCAGCATGCGCCACATTCTAAAGTAGTTTAATTGAAAGGCACTGACTTAGTAGGCTGATCAAAAGGTAGGTTCAGTTATATCTACTTT